GTTGGTTCGCTCGGGGGTTAGTTCGGGCCGTAGAGGGAGTAGTGGTTGAGGCATGTCTGGGGCTCAATAGCATGGCATCGATGGCCGTTCTGGTCGGTGGGCGTGTGTTTCCCGGGTTTGCTTGACTACTTTTTCTGGTGTCCAAAGTGTTATCGGCTGCGCTCTTCGGTTGTCGTTCGCCGGTCTTGATCGGAGGTAAGCCGGTGGACGAGGGCTTCGACATCTTTTTAGTTCGTGACTCTTACTTCGTGCGTTTACACGGTGGGCGCCATTTGTTGAATCATAAATCCGTAGAATGATATTTTGAAATTTTAAACAAGTAATCAATGGATTGAGAGAAGGGCCAAAAGTTTCGTTTATTGAAGTGTGTGTCAAATAAAACTAAAGAGGAAAAGTACAAAGAAACACTCATCGTCACTGACGAGTCAAAGATTTTACTCTCTTTCTTTCTCTCTCTAGTCTTTTTCTACCCGTTTTCTTCCTCTTTTTCATTGAATGTTTTCTCCCTTATTTATACCCATTCTTCTGCTTTGTATTGGGTAAGTGTCAGAGAGTTGGTTCAGCCTTCATCATTACTTTATTGCTTGCGTAGACTCCTTTGGCTATAATCAGCGGTCGGTGCAACCTATTTCCCTCACGAGATGAGCTCTTCTTGGACTTTTCCCTTGCTGATCAACTCGTGGCTTGGGACGATGGTCCATCATCCAACAATCGTGTGCAAAATGCGGATACTAGTTATATTTGTCCTTGATTGGAGATTTGGAATTCAGTACAATAGTTGATATATCATAAAACACTACTTAAATATTGTAGAGGTGATGGATTTATTATAAATATGATCTTTTTTCTATGGGCAAACGTATTTTAAAATTTACGTTTGGATGTATTTAGTTTGTGTTAGAGGGAATTGACTTGAGGTGTTATTGCAACTCCACATATTCTCTATACAAAAGTTGCTTGTGATATGAAATGATTATCAGCTGAAAATAACTCTTTTTTTTTTTTTTTTTTTGACATCAAACGGCCATTCTATTACTCAAGCAACATGAGGTGGTCTGGGTAACCAGACCGGAACAGAACAACCAACGTACACAAGCTAACGGTAAAACGATCTAGCTAATTTAGCTAAAGAATCAGAAGCGCCATTCTGAAGTCTGGGAACATAACAAATCTTGAAATCTGGGAAGCAGATCTTCAGGGTCATCAATTTTTCCAACTCTGTCGAGAAGCTAGGCCAGGCCTGAGGATTCCTGAGCATTTCAATCATCTCCTTACAATCAGTCCCAAAGCTCTGACATGGCGAATGTTGAAGCATATTCTCCATTGCCCACCGCAGTGCTTCCAATTCTGAATGCAATGCCGACTCCACTCGATCAAAATTACGCACCCCCAATAACTGGTTAACTCCAGAAGTATCAGTCANGCCTCGGAATAACTTATCATTCCTAGCCTTCCAAATGTACCAGATTAGCCAAGGATAAGGATCCCTATCTAAATCCGGTTCCATTATTGCATTCTTCCTCCAGAACAGGTAATCCATATTCGCGTACGTGCTTTGTCCTGGAAACATAGCAGGATTGGTAGGCGTAGATGATAGCGCCCAAACCTGTAAAGCAGGTGGGCATTCAAAAATTGCATGCGTAATCGTCTCCTCTGGCTCCCCACATCGAGGGCAGTGGTTGTCACATCTCATATGCCGGTAGTTTAAAATGCTTGTGACAGCTACATGTCCTGTAATCACCTGCCACATAAGATGGCACATCTTCTGGGGAGCCCTGACCTTCCACGCATGTGCTTGAAGCTTTGTGATACTGGGCTGACATATTTCAGTTTCATCGTCCTTCTTCAAGATGTTTCGTGCTACCCAGTAACCAGATTTAACTGTATACTGTCCAGTCCTTGTATAGCTCCAGCAGAACGTGTCCCGTCGATGTGTGGAACTAATAGCCATGCTCTTAATGAGTGGAATGTCATCCGCAGCAATGTACTCCTGAAGTCGTCTTTCATCCCAAGCCTTCGTTGTTTGGTTAATCAAATCGCTCACACGCATATTCGGGTGCATAACCGGTACCAAAGGGATAGCCGGTCTCGCAGGTATAGTAGGAATCCAAGGATCCTCCCAAGCTTTAACCTCATACCCCGAGTGAATCTTTTGTCGAATTCCTAATAGTAGCAATTCTCTTCCGGCCGATATGCTTGTCCATACATATGAGGGCCTACTTGTATTGATTTGACGCAAAGGCGTACTCAATCTGTAATATCGACCTCTCAAGACGCGAGCAACCAGCGAGTCTGGATTTTGTACCAGTCTCCATAATTGCTTTGCCAGTAGCACCAGGTTAAACTCGTGAATCATCCTGAAGCCAATGCCGCCCTCATCCTTCGGTAAGCACAATTTGTCCTATGTCGACCAGTGAATACCCCTCTTAGGCGGGTTTGAGCTCCACCAGAATTGTGCAATGGCACTAGCTAGATTCTCGCAGATCTCCAATGGGAGAAGGAAACAAGACATTACATACGTCGGAAGAGCAAGCAAGATTGATTTTATCATAACTTCTTTCCCTCCTTTAGATAGCCATCTCCCAGTCCATCCATTCACTCTACCTCGTAGCTTGTCCTTAAGGAACGCAAAGAGCTTACATTTGGATCCACTGATGTCCTCCGGTATTCCCAGATATGACCCCATTCCTCCTTCATTTTGGATCCCAAGTGTGTCCTTTATCTCTTGTCTCATCTCCTGTCCGATTCTTTTACCAAAGAGTAAAGAAGACTTCTCAAAATTGATGCATTGTCCTGAAGCTTGTCCATATATCTTGACCACTTTCATTACTTCTTCACATTCACGGGGCTCCGCCTTACAGAAAAACAGACTATCATCAGCAAAGAGAAGGTGAGAAACCGAGGGGCACGCACGCGTGATGCGCATCCCCGTTATCTTCCCTTGATTCTCTGCGTGATTTAGAAGGCTAACGAGCGCTTCCGTGCACAAAATAAAAATGAAAGGGGACAGAGGATCTCCTTGACGTAGACCTCTCTCCGGGACAATATTCCCTCTTGGTTGTCCATTCATAAGGACTTTATATTTTACTGAAGTTACGCATCTCATTATCATAGTTATCCAAACTTCAGAAAAGCCCATCTTCCTCATGGTTGCCTCAATGAAGGACCATTCTATTCTATCATAGGCCTTGCTCATATCTGTTTTAATAGCCATTCGCTTGTTTCGACCACTCGGTTTTGTCCTCAAAGCATGGAACAGCTCCTGAGCTATCATGATATTATCAGATATCTGTCTCCCAGCAACAAAGGCTGACTGGGTCTCTGAGATCCTATCTGGAAGGAATTTTTTTAATCTCTGGCATAAGACCTTAGAGATAATCTTGTAGCTAACATTGCATAGACTAATAGGACGTAGCTGACTCATCTGATTCGGTTTCTCCACTTTTGGAATAAGACATATATTGGTGTCATTCAGGCCCGATGGCACGGTTCCGTCAAAAAGGAATTGATTAACCATAAGAGTTAGATCATCCTTTACAATATCCCAGAACTTCTGATAGAACAAAGCCGTCATACCATCCGGTCCGGGAGCTTTCTCTGGGTGCATCGCGAATAGAGCTAGTTTAACCTCCCACTCAGTGACCGGGGCTGTTAAGGCCTCATTATCCGTTGGGGTAATTGTTGTAGATACTTCGGAGAGTGCTTCCTCAATTGCCTCAGGATTTGATGATTGAAAGATGTGTCTAAAATAATTTGTAGCAATGGCTATCAATCCTTCCTCATCCTCCACAACATTTCCATCTTCATCCAGTAATTGGGTAATCCTATTCCTTGCTCTCCTTTGCTTCGTGAGGGCATGGAAAAATTTAGTATTCATATCCCCTTCTCTCAACCAAAAGACCCGACACTTCTGTTTCCAGAACATCTCCTCCGCCTTAAGGGCGTCAGATAGCTCCTTGATAGCTTCCGCGATATCCTCTGTAGAGACATCATCGTTTGAGGATAAACGATCCTCCTTCTCCTTTAGCTCCTCCACTGTTTTCTCAGAGTTTAGATTATGCTGTCTTTTCCATTCGCTTATTGCTCGCCTGCAGCTCACAATGTGTTCCATTATGCTTGCGTCGGGTGGGAGGTCGGGTGACTTCCATCCTTCGAGAATAATCTGCCTAAGCTCCTCATTATCTAACCATCTCTTATCAAATTTGAAGTTCCTTGATCTCCTAGGTTTCTTCCTCAGAATATCAGCAAGGATCGGACAATGATCCGATCCCCAAAGTCGCATATACTTCACTTTTGAATGGGGGAATTTTTCATGCCAGGTTTCATTCCCAACAGCCCTATCAAGTCGGCATCTAACTGTCGTCCTCCCTGCTCTATTTCCAACCCAAGATAGCATGTTCCCTGATACGGAAATTCTAGCATACCACAGTCACTTAACATTTGCCTAAAGGGCAGAAATGAGCTATCAGGGCGTTGTCTGCCTCCTTCCTTCTCTGCATGACATGTTATTTTGTTAAAATCTCCTATCATGAACCAAGGTCCATCTCTAGTTGTTGAGAAGCGCGTAAGACGCTCCCAAACTAACTCTCTTCGCTCAAGTACAGGATCCCCATAAACAAATGTCATGTAGACTTTTATTCCATCAATGACTGCCTCAATGTCAATCATTCGGTTATTTGAAAAAAGTACATTAACTTGAAATTCATCCATAAAAAATAAAGCTAAACCTCCGCTGAGGCCAAGTGGCTCAACGGTAAACAAACGATCAAATCCTAAGTCGGCCTGAATGTCTTGCAACAGCAGCCTCCTATTCTTCGTCTCAGAGAGGAACACAAATCCTGGGTGATGTTTCTGACACATCTCCGTAAGGCGTCGAACTGTGAGATCGTTCCCAATCCCTCGACAGTTCCAACTGATTGTCCTCATTGATGAAGGGGGGATGGGTTATGGGATCCCATCAAACCCTCATCCTTCTGTGTCGCCTCATCCGACTTCTTAACTCTGTTGTGTGACCGCCTAGGCTTCTCGCTTGCCCCGACTCTTTGAGATGAGGACATGTGTACTCTAAGTCTTGGAGAACCTCGACGGAGGTACTCCGGCTTCGATGTATGATTCCTAGCCGCCTTTTTCCCATTCGAATCATGATCTCTTCGGCGTGGAGGTAAAGCTTCAGGAGAGTGTGACTTATCCTCCAAATCCTTTAATTCCTCATCAAATAGATCATCACCAGCCAACAACTGCTCGTCAACTCCATCCTCATGTTGAACCTCCATGTCCGATAAAGCCCCAATGACTTGCTCATCAGCCTCAGGCGGGTGCTCGCGCGCGGAGAAAGTAAGTGGCTTTTTGACGTTCTTGTTCCGCAGTGTAACATTACCCTCCATTGTTAATCTTAATTCAGGCGATACGATGGTACTCGCCAGCCGCTTATTTTGACCCAAGTTGCCCGAAGTAATAACCTCACTGCTAAGTTGAGTGTTCGAGCTCTGTTTCTCCATATCAACCCTAGCTGCGTCATGGGACGAAGGAGTGGCGCCACGTCTATCAACCGGGTCACCTCTAGCTGCACCACGTTCCATAGGAGAGGCATTACCTTCCTGATCTCTCCTTTTGACGCGCCAAGTCGAAGCAGTCGTGCGGTCATAAGGACCTTTTCCACGGCGGTAGCTGTTGAGTTTCGAGGAATCATGCCTTTCATATCTTCTCCGCATCACCCTGTTTGAATGCTGGTTGCTTTGATCAGTAGCTCCTTCCAATTTTGAATCAAAAGCCCTCCGATCACCGGTTCTCGTATCATGTCTATGATGTGGATCTGCACTACGAGACTGGTGACCTCTGTTTCCACCGCTTGTTGCTATCCGAGATGAGCCATGTAATGTCAGTCGGCCGGAAGCCCCCTGCTGGGAACCATTGTCACTGCCCTTTTGATCATCATATGTGGCTCGAGAAACTCCCTGCGTAGGGTTCCTATCCGTAGCTCTCTGAGGGAGTTGAACTCGGTCAAAAACGGGAGCTCTCACTGCTGCACCTCGAGAATTGCTTGCCACTAGAGGGCAATAACCTTTCTCGTGTGACATAAGGCCACAAGTTGTGCAGTGCTTAAAAAGCTTGTCATATTTAATCTCAATGGTGACTTCATCCCCCTCAGGACTCTGAACTCTCCTCTTGAATTTTAATGGTTGTCGCGAATCAATATCAATCAGAAGCCGCCCCTCCGATAGATCCACCGTGTCCACATGTCCAAGACGACCACCAATATTCCTCAGATTTCTATCCGTCCATAGATGCAAAGGCATACCCACGAACGTAACCCAGAAGGGGATGATCCAAGGGTAGTCATCATGGATAATAGGCTCCCATCTCACCAATACAAACATACAATAGTTGTAATGAAACGGGCCTTGCCGAAGAACATAATTCAGATCATCCTCAGAGGTAAAGTTGAAAAGAAACTTTCCATTCCCTAAATCATTCGCAGTAATTTTATCTTGAAGACCCCATTGAGTTGGCATTTTTTGTACCAGCTTCTCAACGTCTTGCTTCTTAGGGTTTAGTACCTTTCCGATGAGAGACATACGAAATTCCTTTATGACGAAAGAATCATCATTTTCAGAAAGCTTGATTGGTTCGTCATCATCCTCGTAAAGAATACCTTTCCCTTTAACATCTGCCATATGAGCAGTGTTAGCCCGACTCGTTGACCCCATAGAAGATCCCGACGAGTTATAATGATCCGTTGTCAAGGTTCTCAGTCGCTGACGGAGGCAAAGAAATCTTTGGCTGATCACTAAACCAAATCTTCACAAGAGAAGAACGGTATTCAATTCAAATCACCAAACAAAAACAAACTGCGAAGTGCCTGTCACCAGTGATCTCACCGAGCACGACACCGAAGAAGATGAGTGATCACCGTTATCCAGGGCGCACGTGAGAGGAGGAAGACGACAAGGGTCGACTCCTTGAGATCGTATGGCGATCTATCTCAGAGATGGACCAGGATCATCATGGAACAGAAACAACGACCAATCAACCGGAGTAGTACCGTGAGAAAGAAGAAACCGACGAAGGTCGATTCTTATGAAGGAGAGCGCCACCAGCTAACAAAGGTTAGCCGGATTCTTGTCAAGCAATCACCTAAGAGCGTTGATCTATGCCAGAGAATCGTTCGACGCCATCCCGTATCTGTTCTCCAAAAAATCGCCGTCAGAGCAAACTCTTTTTTTAATGAACCATGTCCTTAATACGATCATACAATATTTTTTTTGATGAAAGAAATATTGAATATATATTATTACTAGTGGTTTTTCAACGCTTTGCGCGGATATCTTCTATGATATTCTACTTAAAAAATAAAGTTGATCATATATTATTGTTTATTTCAAATCTAATTTTGTGTTGGTTTTGCAACAGACATCGTAGTTAGTTTGCGGCAAGTGTAAGTCGCTTTGTATGGTCAGTGCCATGCGAAGACATCGTAGTCGGTTTTGCAACGAACATGAAACATCGCTTATGTCAAAAAAAAAATAGATAATTTTTAGGGCATGGTTGCACATAAATTATTGTACTTGGTTTATCTGAAAATAAAACGTTTTTGATAATTATTTTTACCTGCATCTAATTATATCTTGTTTTTTATAAAGCTATATCAGTTGATTAATACTCAAATCTAGCTATAACAGTTGATCATTTTTATAATTATTAATTTTCAATGTCAACTAATTACAATTATATTCACAAAGTATGTTCACATTTTGAGAAAAAAAGATTTTTTTCTGCTTTGTATGACTGTATCCGAAATTTTATACATAGTTTTTTCTTTTCTTACCAAAATTTTTCTTTTTATATATTTCTATTTCTCTTTGTTTGTTCATAAATCTTACTTTACTACATAAAAATAGTTTACATATTAAAAACTATTTTGTATGTATTATATTTACTACACGTAAAACATAAATAACAAACATGTATTTAGTTTTTAGATTAGTTTTAAAAAGTTTTTATATTATTTATTATAAACAATTTAATAAAATAGAGGACATGAGCTGAAGCTTCTCAAGAAAGAGTACTTGGACAATTATTCTTAGAGGTAACCTCTCGTTTATGCGTCACTTGTGTGCAAGTTTCTAAAGAGAGCTTCTAGTAATCTAACAACTTGCTAACCATGGATGATGATGCTAATCATCAAAAGATAAAAAAAAAATAAACAACTTCATATGTCTGAGTTAAAGAAAACTCAAGACTGTACAAAATTAATGGATTCTTACCTTTAGGTAAATGTCTATTGCGCGACAGAGTCCATCATCTAAGAGTCTTGCGTATCCAGGAACAGAAGCAGCTAAAGCTTGGAACTTTGGAAGCTTGAGATTGACATCAGGAGCAACTTCAACAAGATACCCATCGATCAGCTTTGTAACTGCTGTCATTTGTGTTATTGACCGTGGGGATCCGATTACATTCCCCCATCATCTACTGAAGAACAAGGAGAGCCAACGTCACCAGGCATAATCTGATCCTTACTATGAAAATAGTCTAAGATCCTTTGCACATAGTCTTTATCTATAAAGAGTCTTTGTTACAAGATAGAACTGAGAGAGAACTAACATAACATTTTTCAACGCCATATTTAATATAAAACAGATAAATATGATTTGGATCATGAAAGATCACTGATTTTGGAATACAAACTAATGACAAATACTCTGTTTAACGAAATACACCCAAACTGGATTCATAAAGCTGTTAAAGGACTCATCTGATAAGACGACACAAGAGGTGCATTGAGAAATTCATCATCGCCAAGAACATAACATAAAACCAACATTTTCAGTTTCGAGCAAAGCTTCGAACTTTCTAAAAGGATACCAAATTTTTGTGTAACACCTGAACAAAGGTAAAGCTAAGACATGAATAGACCTATGAATCAGACAGATCATGTCTCAAAAGACGTAACAATATTGTTAAAGAAGTGTTTGAAGATTGTTAATTTACCCATTTATTGGCCTCAAGAGGATGCTCTTCATCGATGTGGCAACAGAGCCTGAAAATCTGCTCAATAAGTGCAGATAAACTTTGACTTGAAATCATGGAAACTGATCTCGAAGTCAGCTAGTGCGCCTAACTGACTGCAATTTTTTTATCAGGCCCCTGACTGATTCTACCATAGAGGCCAACAATAGACAAGAACTCCCCCCCCCCCGAACACAACTTACAACTTTCATCGTATTGTGCTATCCAAAGAGCAACTTTCTTTCTTCGTCTTAAAAAAAATAGGAGTTAATTAACTGTGATACGTGCACTAAAAAAAATCATTTTGTAGCAAATCATTTATTAAGAAAAATAGAGAAGCTTAATACAAAGGCAGAAAAAGAAATCATAATAACTTGGTTCTCGTTCAAGATCCTCGTAGCCTCCACCTATATTCAAATATCCCCCCCTCCCCCAAATTTAATGGATCAATCTCATGTCGAAGCCTAATAATAAAAAGCATTTCATAGAGAACATGAGCGTGACCTGGTCGGGATTGACACCTTCGTGGAGAAGAATATGAGAAAAAGGAAGGACGACTGATTCATGATTTGGAATCTGTTCTCCTTTGTTTATTACATAATTTTACAAAATAAAAACAATACAGAAAAAAAATTGAGATTTAAGGAGAAGAAATCAAATGTCAGCAACAAAGAGAGGGGAGAAGTGGAAGAATAATGGAAGGAGATGAAGAGGTTGAGCTCAGTTTAGTGCTACAGAGTCAGGTAAGTAGGATGAAGCATGTTAATATTCGGATTAATGGAGTAAATAAATAGAGAGCAAAGGCGTTATAGGAAGCTTCATCGAAGAAAATGGACGATGTTGAGTTTCACTTTATCCATAAACACCCAGAATATTAGACCTTGATCTAAAACCATACTAATTGGCCCATAATGGTTTTCAACACTGAATGTTTTGGATTTATTGGAGTGACACGTGGCAATAATTGCCTTACGCAAAAAAAATGATGTAGATGCAGGAGAAGGAGAAGGTAGAAACCAATGTTTTATTATATAAGAATCTTACCTAACAAAACTAATATAAAAAGGCCTAATAAGGTGAATAACCATCTGCAGATTTGAAATTTGCAAAGTGGTCAGTTTATTAAATAATTTTCGAACCGAAGGATTACGATGAAGTAATGGACGATTTTAATCTCACAGTCCATCAGGTTACAAGTTTCTTCTCTCCGGTTGCCGGTTGAATGTTAAAGCGGATAGTGTTCAAAGTTATTTATATGTTTTTCTACTTCCACTTCTTCCTGTCCAATTTAGCACTTACATAAATTTGTTAAATTATTTGGTTCATCGCGAAAGTTTGGTTGATAACGATATAGCATGTACAAGATACATTTATGGAATCCACTAATGACGTTTACTGACTCTGTTATCTATATTCAAGACATCTTAATAGCAGAGAGAAAAAACTAATTGCAACAGTAATGTGAATGTCAACCAAAATACAACTGGTTAATCAAACATACGATTACATATTAGGCCTAAATATTTTACAAGCTGAAAATATTGAACGGTAATATCAATTTAAACATATAGGGGAATATTCTAGGGATTGTGCTTAAATAGACAAACGATAATACATAACTAACTAGCAAGTTAACGAAATTTAGAACAAATCCATGATAATAACCCGAGACATCCATTATGCTCGGTGACAGAATCATGTATCTCTTGATTAACTAAAACTTCGACCTCTCCTTCTACAATTGTTTGTCTTGATTCAACCCTGTAAACTTCTTCCACCAAAGCATCATCAACCCACTTGAAGAGATGAGATTCACCTTCCCTCTGGATTAGGGCATACAATATTAAATCTACCAAATTTTAATTTGGGAATAAATTTCACATGTATATTGTATTAACTCGAACCTGCCTAGCAACTACACAACGATAGAATCTCCTAAAGGGATTCTTCGTTGTCTTGGATAAAAATGTTGAAACGCGATTCCCACACCAGCAGTGTGTCGGAACACCCTCATAACCTGATATGTTTCGCCTTGAACAAGTACCCTGCGATACTACATTTCCTGACATTCTGCAACGTCACCCGTAACACGTCCTTAAGAATAATAAGTTTTATGAGCTCAATCAGTGAAAATAAAGTATTACCTAGATTTTGATTTGGACATACTGGCCGCTTGAGATTGGAGAACTAAAGAATAAATACGCAGAACTGAGAGACAAAATTATGACAAGTGGTAGGGTTTGGAAGAAGCGTATGGTTACATAGTAAACCGGTGTGGAGTAATGGTTTGAGTAAACCAGGTTTTAATTCAAACTAAATCGCCAACAAGATTCACAACTTCAGACCTCGGAAATTCACTTCAACGACATCGTTTTTGGGGCATCCTAATAATAGATGAAAGATATTTACAGCAAGAATATGTGATTGTGATGCGTTATGATACTATTCTTGAGATTGTGAAAGTTCCTACAGTATCACCAAATTTATTCATGTCTTCCAAACATTCGTTTCACCCTATGATTTTTACACATACCTTTACTATAAATAATCATACTTGGTTACTCATACAGGTAACACAAAAGCATACTTTTTATCCGGTTTTTAGCTGAGTCAACACTGTAATATCTCAACCTACTGTGAAAAAGCTGGCAAAGAGGGTGATCATAATAGGTGAGTATCAGTTCCATAATCTTAATCATTTATCATAATAAATCTATGTGACGGTCATTAGATATTTAATCAACTTATATAAATAATTAATTAAATTTTCGACTTACTTAACTCTTTCTTATGATTGTTTTTTTTTTTTTTGAAGACATATGGCCCAGCTTATCAAAATCCGAAAAGGAAACTGGAAAATAAATTCAGAAGGAGGTTGGCGTTTCGATACCAATCCTTCGGACGTGGAGCACTATATTATTGCCCGGAGAAATGAAAATATCGACTCCTTTACCCGTCTCATACGTGAAGAGCTCGGTATTGAAATTAACTGCCCCATTTCTTTGACATATGAACTCCCAGAACAAATGCTTCCAGGAATTCCATCAAATTCGCAACCAGCAAATATAGTAACTACTGATGACCTGGAGGTAGTTATGACTGTACAAGAATGGACAAAGAAAGTCCAAATTTGTACTACATCCGGAGCTCTAAACGTGGCTAGATACCAATTCCTCTGTAGAGCTCCATTCACATTATGTGATACATCGTATTTTGATGGAAGCGTCTTGGAGGAGGATCAGTTGGCGACCATTAAAGGTTAGGATTTTCAACTGTATTAGATGATAATATAATAATCTATATTAACGACGTGTTAAAAACTTTATTCTTATTCACTTTCAATGTTCGTCGCAGCTAAGGTTGGAAACGACGTGATCCGATGCAGTGAGCATGTACTGAATAGTATATTCGAGGAGGAGAAGTTGGTCCTCACTTACCGTTTTTCTTTAGAAGTTGAAAAAGCTAGAGGATTTCCGTTATGTGACGGAAATGGCGAGCATAACCTGGGTGATCAAAGTAAGCATTTATTCATATAAGGCCTAACTATAATGTTAAGGATTTCAATAATCTATACCGGCCCGCATAACATATATATGGACGCATAAATCGAAAATGGAGGTTGTATATCATTTCAAATCTTTTCTACTGTACACGAAATACCGAATTTATTCTTACATCTGAGATATGTAGTATACCCGGTTAAACTATTCAATAGCCACAAATAAATATAAAATTTGGTTATAAGTTACACATGCAAACGTGCATGCGATCATTTGTGGACGCTAATATACAATGAAATTATCGAGGTGTCGTACTCTGCTTATCATAAAGAATAAAATGAAGTACATGCAAATTCCCGAGATTTCACTTAAAATTCAAGATTACAGATTCAATAATGACTATTTTATAATATTTAATACCTGGAATAATGTTACTGTCATTAGTACAATTATCGAAGGACATAAATAATAACACAGAGGACCTACTTTAGTTAACCTGTTATTTAACCTTAACAAGTTATCTTACTAAATAATGTAGTAACATTTTCATATGAAATGAGCTCTGTTAACAAACGACGTATATGATATCGTTAAATTCAAATACGGCAGATACAGGAGATGAATCAAGACACTTCAATCCAGACTGGGAAGATGTGGAATGCGAACAAGAGTTTTGGGATAGAGAGATTACCCATACTTCCAATATTGGTGATCTACTATCTCATAATCTTCCTTTCGAAGAAGCCGACAGTACGAATAATATAGATGTAAATGTGAATAACCTGGTGAATGAAACAGAAAACACAAAAATTGTGGAGTTGGTGCAGTCTTCAACAGGTTCCACGGGCTATGATAACCAAGGTGGAGGGACACACAACCAACTTACCCCAATAACTCTAACCGGCGATGAACACAATCAAGGAGGTAATCATATCACGTAGTAGGTATTGTCTGGTAATATAACATTCAAATAAACTCATATCATTAATTACAGCTCAAAATTATAACTATGTAGGCGAGAAAGAAAACAATTACACTTTCTTGGAGGAGGGACTGGGATTGGCAGAAGGAACACAAGTTGTGCAAAACAATTACATAAATGTAACCGATGAATCTGATGTCAATGTGGTGAGCAACAGTAATGGAAGTGAAAGAGTCATTATAGAAGATTCTTCTTTAGAATTTTCTGGGTATCAAGGTTGGTGTAAGCTTCTATTTATAGTTTAGAAAGATTATCGTTACTTATTATTCCAAAGTTATTGTTAAATTCAAAATGAGACACAATGCAGCATAAAAGTTCAAATAAGTCTACTAATGTAAGTTTTTGCAGGAGGAGTTAATAATCCGGAAGATGTACATGTTGGGATGATATTCAAGACTCGAGGCGATTTCAAACAGCATATGGCGATTTATGCAATACGTAACAAATTCAGATTCCGGAATACTCGTTCTGGCCCCGGTGGGATGGTTCTCCGATGTTTTAGCCCGACATGTAGTTGGCGAATCTATGCTGCACTCCTAAACAACACAACTGTATGAGGTGAAAAGAGTGACTTTAACCCATTGTTGCTCCGTTGACGATCGTTCCGGCTACCAGTCGCAAGCAACACATGCAGTCATTGGCGGGATGATGCGAGCAAAATTTGCTGGTCGAGGGGGTGGCCCAAGACCTAATGAAATTCGGGAAGCAATGCAAGGCGATCACAACGTCCACATTTCCTATTGGAAAGCATGGAGGTCCAGGGAGATAGCATTAGACTATGCTAAAGGATCATGTGGTGCTTCATTCAATCTACTCCCCTCTTATCTCGAAAAGCTAGTTCAGGCTAATCCGGGGACAATTGCTGAGTTACACACAGAGTTTGCTGAGGGGATAGGGCATAGGTTTAAATATATGTTCATGGCTTTGTCTGCAAGCATGGAAGGTTACCGATTCATGAGAAAAGTAGTAATAGTTGATGGTACTCACCTGAGAGGAAAATATGCAGGCTGTTTGTTGACAGCTTCAGCTCAAGATGGTAATTATCAAGTATTTCCTTTAGCAGTGGCAGTTGTAGATGGAGAAAATGACAAAGCGTGGGAATGGTTTTTTAAACAACTATCCCAATTTATTCCAAACACCGAAGACGTTGTTTTCGTCTCTGACCGACATCCATCAATATACTATGGGATTGCAAAGGTAATGATGAAAGTTGTTTATTTTTAAAATCTAAGAACACTTGGTATTTCATATACGAATATCTTACTGAATAAATTAATAACTGGATTTAAATTCCTGCAACCGGAAACATACTATCGGATATTCAAACTTGTATATTTCGCATATAAATTTGAATTGTAGATTTTATACTTCATGCTCATACTGTTTGCACATAATTTATGCCTTCAGGTTTATCCAAGGGCTCGACATTGCGCATGCATACTTCACCTTAAAAGGAATATTAGGACATATTTCAAAGATAAGCACTTGGGTTACCTGGTTGGGAAGGCAGCACGGGCATACAGAATTTCAGAGTTCTACACTACTTTTAACGAGATAAAAAATGTTAATTCATCTTGTACAGAGTACCTAATCGGTATTAGTTTCCAACATTGGGCAAGATCTCACTGTGATGGACACCGATACAATGTTATGACTAGTAATGTAGCAGAAACATGGAACTCGGTTTTACGCGACGCAAGAGAATATCCAATACTATCTCTCATTGAATACATAAAAGCTAAGCTTATGTCCTGGTTTGCTGCAAGGAGAGAACTCCATAAGAGAGGGAATAAGATCCTGACTCCACGTGTTGAAGAACTTGTGTCAGCAAACTTTGAAAAGAGTGGAGGCCTTTGGGTAACCATGATAGCAGAAGCAGACTATGAGGTGCGAGACAAAGAAGGAAACACTTGTCATGTTAATTTAGTTGACAAAACATGTACTTGCTATGAGTTTCAATCACTCCGCATGCCATGCAAACACGCCATCGCTGCGGCATCAAGATACAAGATACGGGTGGATTCCCTCGTTGGCGAATGTTACACTCTGACAACTTACACGGCAGCCTACAGTCCTATAATTTATCCTGTTATTGGGTATGAAACCATTGAAGTTGTATCCAGTGATGGCTCAGAAAGCCAGGTGGCAGTTAATCCGCCAGCTAGCAGGAGGCCGCCGGGACGACCTAGGAAAAACCGTATTCTGTCTAGAGGTGAATTTGAGGTAATATGTTGATTTTCCTTTGTAATTTTAAATCTCAACAACTTTCAATATAATTAATATTTTTTTCAATCAGATGGGAGGCAAAAAGAAACGTACTTTCTGTAGTCGATGCAAGGGTGCAGGCCATAATAAAGCAACTTGCAAAATGGCTATATGATAGCTGGAAATGTAGAACAAAAATTAAGTTGTTCACTCGGATGATGAAGGTGTCAGTACGAATTGGAGGATATAGAACTGGATACAAATAATGAATGCTTTCAATGTTTAATATAATCCAGTTCTTGGGTAGGGGCAGGTGTATTTAGTTTCTCGAGTTTGTAAAATAAATAATAACAACTTGTGATTGCAAAGTAACGTGGTGTTAAGATAATGATATGGTGAAGCGTAGTAAACGTGCAACACATAGACATCCTCGGTACAATATAAATATGTTAATGACTAAATAATGTAGCATTAAAAACATTGCCTTACTTAAACCTAAATATAATGGAATAGAGCTAATAAATTCTTCAAACATATTTTCTCCTACAATTTCAACAATATATACTGCATTTTAATATACATATTGGACACAAGCTTTTGAAACCTGTACCAAACTTTACTTTACTAGTGGTGGAGGTAATGTAGATGGTCCCTTTACAGAAGCCCAAAACAAAAATTTAAATCCGGTTATAGTTTGTAATAATTGGATAATAAAAGAATATAAATATGTATTAATGTTGCCAATATATTAGGAAAACTTACATTGTCGTAAAAATAATTACAGCCAGGATTTTCTCTAACATAAAAAATAGTAAAGAAGGGATTGAAAACATTGCTAAAAAACCGGCAGTATGTGTAGTTAGGGTAGATGTGCAAATATTCAGAAGTGGAGGAAAAATAAAATTTCGTGATACACGAACAATAAAAATGTGCTCTTATTTACAAGCTAACATATTCGTATACTCGAACAAAGTATGTTGAGGATTTCACCCGTTAACGTAAGTTAGGGTTAATATACATAAAAACGGGTCTAATACCAACCTAAAAAAATTGTTATTTGAACAAAACATTGAAGATGACGTAACGGAATTCCAAAAAAAGCCAAGGCAAATGGGTTGCAGATATTGTTGATAGTGAAAATGTTACACAAAAGAGACAATAGGGGTCGACATTTTGCCTTAACCCAATCCGTTTGTATTAATAAAACAAGAAGTTATTCAAAATTGAAAACATGGTTACTGAACAACCACGTTTTGTAGTTAACTTACTATTGAAGATATTTTGTGTGGACATAAATAACGACAACGTAAATGTCATTACAACCGCAAGGATTTTTAACAAAAGAAATAATTAACTTAATATAAGTATTTCGTCATATCATAAACAGACGTAATGATGTTAGTCTACTCATATATAGACTGCACACATTTAATGGAAAGACATGACCGACGTACATCTGGGTGCATAAGTTTGCATTTAGCTTTACATAGTAAGTCCACAATTTTTAAGTGATATCAGAATTTATTACTAATATACCGGTTACTAGATGAAAAAAAATATCCTATACAGAAGATTCAAACCGTAATGGATTCAAAATATCCAAAACCAGCAACGACGATAACCTATATTCAATCGTCAAAGTTGTTACGTATAAATATCTGAAATCTCCGTGACCGAACCAAGTCCTTAAACCAACCAAACCGACTTCCGAAAAACCCTAAATATCTGAACCAGACAGATAACCAAAAAGTGATAAACATACAAAGCAGAACGCAAACTAATGGAGAAAGACATAATTTTACATTTTATACCCCTTAGCACAACATTATATCTTCCTTCACATAAAAGAGCATTACGATTGGTATTTGCTATAGACCTTCTCATATTCATATAGAAAGATGCCTATACGTATGTAATTAACCATAAATGGGAATATACGTAGACTAGTGTGAATATTAGAAATATGAAAACGATAATTTATAATCCATATTATAAACTGCGAAATACAAATATATGGTATGGTTTCTCCGTTCAAAAATAAATGTTACTAACAAAAAATAGGTTCCGTAATTATCAGGAGAAATACGTATCCCTTTTTCAATACAATGATAGTGGGATTTCTGATGGAATCATGGTCATTAAGGACCACATGTTTTAAAAACTATTTCGAAAGAATATACCCTTAGATGTATTAATTGTGATTGAATTTTCAAACAACAAATTTATTAATATAATATATAATGACGACTTGTTTTGTCATGTCAGAGAAAGTAGGGTTATGATGTCAACCTATCCCTAGATAGCCTGCGACATTTAATGTGAAGATATGGATTCATTTCCTCCTTTAACCTCCATATTGCCATGCTACCGGTTTCTAAATCCTCCATTCTCCTATATATATAGGTGATTCCCCTATTCGTTTTACAAACCCACCTAACTCAAGTAAGACCGGGTAGTGTCTGACCAAACTGGAAGTAGGAGCAAGGGCAACATTCCAAAAGGTGAAGTTTGTGCCTTCATTCTATAAAAGCCTTTTTTTCTTTATATGGTAAAAAACCCATACATAACTGTTATCAATATTTGGTAATTTGTATCCGATTTCTTTTACAGTTAACTACAATAGGAGAATGGAAACTTTGATATCCCAATGATGTTATTTATGTTATTTTTTTCACAGATGACTCGAGTTGTGCATGTATTTAAGGGGCAGTGGAGAAAGACCCAGCATGGGGTTTGGGTGTGCGATCAGGATAATACGGTTCCAACACATCAAATACTAGTTGGAACCACTGATCAGGTTGACTCAGTCAAGAACATTGTTAGAGGTGTTTTCCATCTTCCAATGCAGACACCGCTTCTTCTTACCTTCCAACTTCCTCAATGGATGTTAGAGCCCAATGGAGAAACATGGCCTCCACACAAGATCCAAACTAACGCAGACTGGGATATGATGATGACCATCCATGAAGGTGATGTTGAACCCCACATATGCATGATCTTTGGTGCAGAAGAAGTGGCTACTTTCCACTTTAGATGCAGATCACCTTTTACCATCGGCACTCTAACTTTCCTAGGCGAGGGTGTGACAGAGGAGGAACACATGACCCTCGTTTTAGGTCAGCTCAAAAAAGTGTATTTGAATTCATAAAAGTAGTATATTAATTTTATTATCTTGTATTTTGCAGATATTATAAGAGGAAACGAGATACTCTGCAGTGACCGTATGCTCAACCACATATTTGATCAGAATGAAATGGTTCTACTTTACCGTTTCTCTTTGGAGATGGAAAAGGCGAAAAACAGCCTAGACCTAAATTTACGACCAATGCTCGACACAGACGACCATATTGTTCCTAATATTGGGAACAATAATGTGGACACCCACGTACAAAATGTACCTGATGTTGCAAATCTTGAAGGTGCCACCCACATCAGTGGACCTAATGTCCCCTATGAGGCTTCTCCAACTTTGGGTACATTTCTGTTGTATCAATATTTATTTTTTATCAGTTACAAGAACCTCAGTCGAGAAGACTGGTGTTTCCCAGTAGTTTGAATTGTCTATAATATTTTCTGTCTTTCATTATATAGTTAATCAAGCTTTCAACAGTGGACGCGAAATTCCCCAAGGTGTTCATCATACTGGGTGTCAACCACCTTTCTATACCCCTCCGTGGAACACCATAAACGCCAGACCATGGTATTGGGAAAACTTGATGTCATCGAGTTATGCGATGGAGCTCCAACGAATTTATGGAGTTCGTGGGTCTGAATATGTTGGGTACATAACGAATGACCTCAATATAGGAAACACTAACGCAGCACGACATATGCATGGCTACCCTATTCAAGAACCTAGAACGAGTTACCTCATTCCAATCGAAGTGTCATCAATGGCTTCTTCAACAGAGATGAAATGCGTTACTGAAAGATTGGATGACATCAGCAGGCCACAAATCAAGAGGTTCCCCGGTGAAGTTTATCAGGAAAAAGGTTTGAATCCATATTTCATTATGTAATTGTATGTTCAATATTCTAACATATCTATCCTTAAACTTATGTATTGAAAGGTGAGTCATCATCTGGGCCAGTAACAACTCAACTAGACGTAGTTGGTAAGGTGGAGGAGGGAAATTTTCAGGATAAAAAGGATAATGATGGACCTAAAGATGCAGGAGGAGATGCATGAAGAAAAATGCAGCACATTATGTTTAATAAATAAATGAACGGTGCACTTTTAATGTTGTAATGCATATCCTGATATGGATAATATTTTGCTCCATTAGGTTTAAAGGATGTAACGGGTATGACTTAAGATGGCTTAGTATAGTGATGTTCTAATGTGTGTGAATGGGGTACTAGTTGGTTTGTATGATATGCTGATGTTTCTATGAAAAGCCGGATGTTTTATATGAAATATTGCTGTGTTAAAGCATTTGTTTAAAATATATATAAAGTAGAACATAAACCGGCAATTGTTGACTTTTGTCGGATGGCTTACAAGATTAAGGATAATAATATCGAAAGACGAATATAAAGACATCTTACAAAAAAAACTACACACCTCTTATAACCAAGATAGAAATATGTTATAAAATACGGTAAGCGTACGTATTGGTAGACGGGATTGTGACTTTAATAATATATAACAGACATGCTAAAGGCATATAAAAGGGATGATGATCTTGTATACTATTTTTAAAAAGTGTCTGATTTTGGTTTTGATATGTTTGGTACATCTATTTTCAAAAATTCCAAAATTTTGACAATTGATAAAAACTCGGTCTAGGCGTTTGGTACAAATAGTTTTATCAGGTTTAGCATCTCATTAAGAAAAAGGGTTAACGAATATATTTCAACTACACTTAATTGTAATTTGTGTTTTGATAGTTTCGAAGACAGATTCATCATATTTTACATTACCGATGGTATCAAAAACAGTTTTTTGGTTAAGAATCTGTTTGACATTTCGGGTTCCGGATTTGCTGAACAGCCATAAAAAACGTTGAAAATGTTAAAGTTTTAGGTGAACGTCCGGTTAGGGATAAGCAACATTGGAAAAATGTATAATACAAATATGTCTTAGAAATTATAAACCAAAACAGGTGAAGATATTATGTAAATGTCTTCAACATTAACCATTAATAGTTAACAAATTAAACCTGGAAAACAACTGTGAATTACATAGCACTTAGTTTACTACAAACACTCCGAAAGCGAAGACCCGAATAACCATTATTTTAGGACAACATAGTTAAACAAAGATACGACTCCTACAGTTTCTTCTGGAACTCGTACACCATGACAGCTGCCTTTTGTGCTTCCACAGGAATGGCATATGGAGTGACAGAAGTACATGAATCAATACCAAAGAGGGCATGGGTTTGCATCAAAAGACAGGCAGTAACGGCAGAGTCCGCGTGGTGGGGATTTTGTCGGACAGATTGTACTCTTTCGACCTGGAAATTAAGCGCTGGTAACTCAACACCACTCCCAATATGTTTCAAAAGATATGGAAACATCTCTGATATGGGAAGAAGTTCTTTCACCAAAGCGTCATGTGTCATCATTCCAGTGTTGCAGTCGAGAACAAAAATCTTACACGAACGTAATTCAACACAAAGGCCAATCCAGTGTTTGTGATAAACGTTGAAAGGGATGTAAAACCTGGTCACACCATCGTATGTATCGGAAGTCTTTCTTATGCAATCCACCATTGCGTTTGTGAAAACATAGGCATCCTTCTGCTTGGACTTTTTATACTTTGGAAAGTTTCATGAAAACAAAACATGTACTTTACTATCCAGGAAGACATATTTGGTTTCACCTCGACCCACCTCGTGATTGGAGAAGTTGGATGCAACAAGTTTTGTTAGAATATCTACAACCTGAAGTAACCAACATAATCGAATAAGAGATATGATAATGCGCAATAAATGTATCAAACATCAACCGGGGCTTCTAGCTCTAGTGGTAAAGGGCTTACAGCTGTGAGTACCGCCACCTGGGTTCGAATCCCGGCCACTGGGGAATTAACATTTCGGCATCGCCAGGGACAGAGGACCGACACGTGGCAACACGTGGCTAGTCTGGACCACTTATGTGGGGCCAGGATACCTCTGTATAATTCAAAAAAAAAAAAATGTATCAAACATCATGTACTTACTCTCCCTGGAAGGACTCTGTTCCTTTCGCCAATATCAACCAAATCCTTTCCTGTAACAGCTAGACCCGCAATATTGAGAACACTGCACTTGAGAAGAACAACGATTAATGCTTGTCGGCAATGGTAGATATGAGGATAAACGATATAAGGATATAAATATGTGAAATTTCAGAAGAGTGTGACAAAATACCAGTATTTCTTAACTAGCATCTTCTATCGCAAATACTTTTCACGAATCTCAGCAGGGGCATAGCAAGTCAAACGTGCAAGCTGAACTTCATGAGCACGATTAAGAATTGATTTCCCACAGTGGTAGTCACTGATCAGTTGAGGTGGGACATGCCTCATTCGCTTACTTTGACGAGATATCAAATTCTCCTCGATTTCCACCATCGCATTTTCTTTCTCTTCTATGACAGAGGCCTTCTGAGTTTCTCCAATATTGTCTTCTTCCTGGGGGTGTACCATTATAAATTCCTGAGTAAGTCCAAGTGAAAAAGAAGGATTCGGAAGGTCGATGCAATCAGTGAACGCCTATACACATGGAACAGGTTAGCATGTATTTATCAAATCAGCGTTACGTATACTAACATTTAGTTACAATTGGAATAAGTATTACATGTGCATCTGTTGGACGGGACATCTCACTTTGTCCTGTAACAGAATGCTGCTGGCCTCTCTCACCATCTATGACTCCAACATAACACACACCGCAGGGTTTTGGTGAGCGTTCGAGGCAGATCCCTGAACATAAGATAACATCGTATATTATGAGAAGATTCCGGTGACTTAATTTATGAATCAAATTATGAACCATATTAGTAAACATGATACAAATAGAATAAAATTAAATAAAGAAAGGTACATTTCCATAATACAGTTCCACCTATCATTTAAATTTATGTAATAGGTTGGAGTTACGATATTTAACTTACAGGTATCCGTCATTGTTTAGACCTATAAGGAGAAGATGTAAGAACTTTACTTGTGAAAAATTCGCAGACAGCCTTCTCACCGAGGTAGGCTTGGTTAATGGACAACTACGTGTCTCATTTTGGGGATTGGTTGGATTTGTATGACCAGCGATGGGAATTTCTGATAGCCGTGCATGTGACTGGGCCTCGCTTCCCTGAAATGAAACCTGTTACTTGTGCGTTACCCATGAATATATGACTGTAATTAGTTGTGGAAATTGTATGCAGTCCAAAGCACCAATAAATTACTTTCTCTAATATATAACCACTAATATGTCACAATAACCTATATTATCGGGTTAACCAGCAATATGTATAAAAATTCGGTTTTAAAACACTACTTTGGATGCAAGCAAAAATGGAAAAAAAAACCGCAATGTATAACTGTGCGAAATCTTACACCATTGGGACTTACTTGACAACGTTTTCCCGAACCTTCAGGCGTCGAATACTGAGAAATGTTTCGCAGCACATCATCAACATCTTCAGCATATCCATCGCGCATAGCAGGAGTTTTTTCCGGAACATCATCTCTTGTTTCATCTTCTTCTGTAACTCGACCTTGGTGTTGTGATTCTCCAGGAGGAATAAAACTACATTTCTCCAAGTAGGATAGAATATCGGTTTTGAAACTCTTGAGCAATCCTTCAACATTTGCCATAACAGATGCCTGGTACGCTACTGCATTTGCAGAAAATTCTTTCACTGTACCAACAACTTCAGACACATTAACTTCCACGCGCTGAATCTCTGGTCTAATGATCTCGTTAACAACAGATTTGAGTTTTTCTTCGTCAAGGCCGACTGTAGGCACATCAATCTGCTTCTTTGCTACCCGTTTACTTTTACCTACTTCTTTTCCATCTGCAAGCATCTTTGCTACATCTGCTTTACGTACCCCACCTCTAATCTTATCCTTAGGGAATTGGTCTGTCATAGAAATAAGACGAACCAAGTTATCAACTCTTACGTCAACAACTTCATCTGTCCAAATAACCACAGATTCTTCGACTGGCCTTCGAGGATCATTTGGAATAATGCTCGTCACCATTTCCTAAAATGTTAATATGGAATGAAAATATTAGGATATGGGAGGACATATTTATTTAACGAATATTAGCCAAAGGGTTTAAATGTCTACATTACCTCAGCCTTCCTATCAAGTTCCCTAGCATGGGAAGGACTCAATGTCTGCTTCTTAGTTTTAGTAGACATACCATCAACCTCGTCATCGTCACTGTCTGACCCTGATGAAGAAATTACTTCTTGAACTACTTCTGTGAGAGCTGGAACTGCTTCAACAATGACTAGTTGGATAGCCCAAGCAAACCCTTTCAGAGCTATTGTATTACCTAATAGAGAAATCTCATCTCTTTTCTTGATACCTGTCATCAACATATCAAACGCTAGTCTGCCCCATGGAAATGAAAAAAAAAGCGTCCATATCAACAAGCATGTCCGCGTATTCCTTCAACATCTTCATGCGGAGATTAGTAGAGAGCAACACAGAAGAAACAATTGCAAGGCAAGCCACTTTCATCCGGATATCTTTGTCTGTAACGGTTTTTCTTCGGAGCATCTTCACAGCTGTGGAAACTCGCATTTCGTCAACCCTTCCAAAAAGCTCTGGCCAATAGGGTTTCTCTGTAATGTTTTTCTTCCTCTTAAGCTTCGATTTCTTGGGAAAGGGACCACACGGAAGACCTGTCACAATCGCAAACTCACGAAGCAAAAATCTTATTGGTTTACCGGCGAAATGAAACCACGCTTCGTGTTTCTTTTCAACTTTGAGTTGCCTTGACAATAGATACCTAGCAAATCTACCTGAAAACCCAGGTTTCTCTGCTATATCTACCAACTTGCCGAAAGGGGTTTGCCGGAGCGATTGGATCTCTTCATCATCAAGTGCCTCGAGAATCGTGTTTATGGCACTAGACAACTGATAAGTTAGCACTCTCACACCAACGGGTTCTTCTCCCTCAGCGAACATCATTTCCGGTAATGGACCGGTCCTTTCTTCGATGACATTTTCGGTGACCTCAAGTTCTCCGGAAGCGGCCATCTCGATTAGGTTAAAAGTGTTGTAGGTATTGATGAGAGAAAGTGAAAGGCTCCGAATATGAATACTCAATTATAAATAAAATTTTTTCGTCTTAATTATTGGTCGATGGTTTTTTGCAAATAAAGTTAACGTCAAGTTCTTAATTTACAGTCCCAAGACAAGTTTGGCGTGTTCTATCACCGGTTGTCTGACCAATCACACCGCCTATTATTTCGCCCCTAGTATCTATTCAATCGCTTTTTAGGGGCACTTTGGCCATTATTGATATGTAAACAGTCCTCCATCCATTTCTCTAATTTAACAAAGTCCTTTGTATATGCAGCGCAATTTTCCTATAATCTCCCAGATAATTTTTTTTACTACTGACTGTAAAAGAAAAAAAAAAAAGATGAACTTTTCTAATTTCAGTCTCCTCCTGACATAAATTCAAGGCTGGCAACCGCTGTTTTATGTAAATTTAGAGTTATTGTGGTGATATAAATAGATTTTTATATAATTTTTCTAATTTAGATTTTGACATTTTAAGATGGATATGTTCCCGGTTAATACCACCGGAATAGAGACGGCGGAGAGGTAAAGATTTTAAGGAAAGTTTTCTCCTTTATTCTCTTTGACCCCAAGAAGGCATAACCTTTTTGAGTCAAATGGAGTCTCGAGGATCTTCTGATGCAGAAGACGAACAGATTGTTCAAGTCAGAGAAGCTTTAATGTGTCTCAACGGCAAAAGATTCGAGGGTTTACGAACCGCGAGGTTCCTTAAACACACCACCATGTCTATAGACGACGACGTTTTCGACCTCCCTCTCGACGCCTTTATATCTCGACCTGAAACCACTGATCCTGAAAAATGGACGGCCAAGATTTCGTTTCCGGGATGGAGCTCTCCGTCCGCGAACTGGGTCGAGTGGGTGAACGCTTTGGCGGAGACACACGCCACCGTGTGGAGGAGAGCAGGTGTGTATGATGCGATCTTGGCGTCTCGGTATGAGATCAAGAAGCAAGACGAGTTAATGATGGCGTTGGTGGAGAAATGGTGCATTGAGACGAACACGTTTGTGTTCCCTTGGGGTGAAGCGACGTTGACGCTTGAGGATATGGTTGTTCTTGGTGGGTTCTCTGTGATTGGGAACAATGCGATGGCTCCTGTTAAGAGAGAGGATATGAAGGAGGTGGAGGAGAAGATGAAGAAGGTGAAACGTGAGATTGAGGGTGAGTTTGGGAAGAAGTGTAGTGTTGGCTTGTGGATGAAGGAGATGATGAAGACAGGGAATGAGGTTGAGCATGAGGCGTTCTTGGTTACATGGCTGTCACGTTTTGTTTTTCCTGGCTCAGCTGATTTGGTGAATGATATGTTGTTTCCGGCCTCGATTCAGCTTGCTCGAGGGGTTACATTGGCTCTGGCTCCGGCCGTTTTAGCGGGGATATACCACGATCTCGGTCTTTTAAAGGAGCATCTTGCTGGCTATAGTGAGAAGGAGACGGTTGTGGTGAAGTCTCCGTTACAGTTTGTGCAGGTTTGGGCTTATGAGAGGATCATGGAGTTGCAGCCACCGGGCCAGCCAGGTCTGTTAAATCCTGGTGAGCCACGGATGGCTCGGTGGCACTGGCACCAACATGGTGGAGGTCAGGATCTGTATGGTTATACTGAGAATGTTAGAGCGGTTATGGACTCGTCAAAAGAGAGTTTTGACTTTCGTCCTTACACAAAGCCTCTGAACAACTTCAAGTTCCCGAGGTTTTACGTGGAAGATAACTGTTGGGTTCATTTGCACTCTGATGACAAGAACATTGTGGCCTTTGGTCGGTGTTTGAGGTTCTGTAAACTGGTTGGCCTGCATGGCCTTGAACCTTATTATCCACACCGTGTGGCATTGCAGTTTGGTTATGACCAGGATGTTCCCGGTGTGGTTTCTGCTAGGAATGAGACGCCTGAACTGGCTTGGAAAGACTATATCCGTCCTATTTCAGGTGATATGATTTACATTCCTGCTCGGCTCAATGCTGGTGATGTTACCGTTAGGTACATTCGGTGGTGGAAGCTTTCTTTTGCAATGTTACAGTCTGAAGCTAAGAAAATTTCCCACAAGCTTCTGGCTTCACCCCTGAGGCCGACCACAACAAACGTAACATCTAGAGAAACAAAAACAAAGAAAGGGAGTCTTGGCCGTAGTAGCTCTTCGGGGAGCCTGATAGGATCAGAGAAAGGTGATAAGCAACCTTTAAAAAACCCTGAATGGGTCCAGAGATCACCACCCGGGTGGAAAAAGAGTCCTGATAGAAGCTCGAGCAGTGCACTAGGTGGTGCTAAGGATCTCAAAGGAGTTCTCAAGGGCTTAGGGAGGACTAAGGGTCACGGCCATGTCACGTTTCAGCTTCCTCCTGGTCCATCACCCAAAAGGTCTCCTCCATCCAAGACAAATACTACTTTAGAAAAGCAAAACGGTATAATAATGATGTGTTCTCATGTTCATGTCTCATTGTTGATTATATTGTTTGTGAATTGACTTTTGCTTCTTCTTTTTTTTTTTTTTTGTAGATTCTCCTGTCAAGAAGCCAAGAATGATACCTCGGGTAGCAGACTTAGCCAAAAGACCGACCTCGTCTTCTCAGGTTCCAAGAAATACATCAGTTGTTCCTCTTCCTCATAGGCGAGATAACTATATAAAGGACAACAGTTCCTCTAGTCGGCGAGCTTCAAAAGAACCATACAAGGCGCCATCTCTATCAGGTTATCCTTCAAAGAGGAAGAAGTCACCAAGATCTGTTGATATTGTCAACTCGATTGGTCAGAAAAGTTCCCTAACCCCGCAAGGTTCAAAAGAATCTCCCAAGTCACCATCTGTTTCTGGTTCTTCTTCTTTAACAAGGAAGAACTTACCAAGATCTCAAGAACTGAACAAGTCATCATCTTCTTTTGGTTCTCTTTCTTTATCGAGGAAGAAGTCATCAAGATCCTCAGAAGATGTCAGCTTGTGTGGCAACTCATCATTTGGAGGCAGTTCCGTGGTCAAGAGAAATACTGACACAAGCAACATAACTTCCAAACGAGAATCACCGAGAAAAGCTCAGGAACTCAAGGCTACTAATATGAAGTGTTTGGAGGAGATTGTGACTCTGCGGGAACACGTTGGTGAAGAAGGGGAAGTGACATATCATATACCAAAACATCAGTTTGAGGATCTAAGCCAAGGAGTCCAAGATGTTCTACATGATCTTCACTCTATTAAATCCGCTCTGAACATACAAGACGATGATGATGAGTAGATTTTCAAATGGCTTTTGCAGTTGGTTCAAACCGAGTCGACACAATATAATCCAACACTACTAACAAAGACATTAGTTTTCTTACTTAACGTGTATAAAGAACTATCTTTAGAAGACTGATCATATCCACTTATTAAAACGTGCTGATCTTTTTCCCCACTATAATTTGCACACTTCATCAACAAAACAAAAAGCATGTGATCACTTCCTTTGTCATAAACCATTCATGTAAACCATCAGTAAGAGTGTTGGCTTGTTTGTGAGATATATTCATCAATGCATAAACATATTGGTAAAGTACTCATTCTGATGCAGCTTTGAGATAAAAAAGATATATTGAAGTTGCAACTTAGCTCCATGATGTGTCTCTGTGGCAAAGTTTCAATAGCCCTATTATACTATTCCCATCATCACTGTCATTTTCATTAAATCTGTTTGATGATCTTTTGTTTGGCTAAAAAAATCAAGAGCAAATAAATATAATGACAAATATTTATACAAAAATGATTAATCTCTGTTGTTGGAACAAAATAACTGATAAATCATCATCTGCTATCTTTTGGAGTTATGATGATCCAATGAAAACAAAATGAGATTCTCAAAATGTCTCCCATGTGACTTGTGAGAGATGATGGATGTTTTTTAATTATTACTTTGTCTTCTGTGATTGTCCTATTATTGCTAACCCTTTTCACTTCTTCTCCAAAAAAAAGATTGTTTTTGGGAAAAAGTTTGTGTATTTCCTCGTTCTGATAAATCTGATCCTGTTACAAAAGTCAAAGAACAAATAACGTGTAGAAGTGAAAATGGAGCCCATCCCATTAATGATTACAGTAATATTTGTCTAGAGTTCTGGCTATATAAAGAGATGTACTATGTTGTGATTAAAAGTGCCCCTTTCGAACGATTGATAAAAACTCTATCTTTCTTGGTATACTATCTCTTCCTTTGTTCTTTTCGTATAGTTTCTTATTTACCATAATTATTACCTTCATGCTATAAAATAAATATCTTTTACGTAACATAAAACAATATAATATAATTATAACACGTTATCAGCACGATCACTCTACTATTAAAATTTATTTTTGATTATTATGTTCGGAGTGGGGCCTCCATTTATTTGTTATATTTATGTTTACCGGAGTGCGGCATTGCCGCCCCATCTTTATCGATTAGCTTTATTGTTACCGGAGCGCGGCTCTGCCGCCCCGAATTTTATTATAAATTTTATAATGGTTGCTTAAGGCACCATAATGGCCGGTATACCGCCTAAACATTTTAATTTATTATTTTATAATATATAAATTTGTTATTATTCTGATCATCACCTTAACATTTCACTTTGAAATCTGATAGATAATTTTATCACCATATATATAACTAAATATATTTAATATTTCACATATATTTATATATATGTTTAAACTGATAAATTTGACAATTATGAGAATTACACACTAATAATTTTTGATTAATTTTAATTTTCTGTTTTTACTTCCAACGGTCATAAATAATTTAAACAATAATATTAATAAAAAAAAAAAATTTACTTTTTAAACGGCTAGTTAACGGCTAATGAATAGTGTTTTCATCTATAAAAACAACTCATTTTCACTTCATTCTCTCATCCAAAACATTTCTTTATCTCTCAAATATTTACAAATCGTTCTCCTAAAATTTTTCGTTGCAAGAAAAAAAAAAAAAAATGATTCGATTGCTTTTAATCTTTTGTGCGATTTTTATTTCTTCGTCTATGTATTTTATCCTTGTTGAAGGAACTACTCATGAATATTTTGGAATTAATATCGCCTTATGTTTATTAGCATTATTTTTACTTGTAATTGCGTGTACTATCAATGTAATTGGTTCTATTTAAAATTAATGAAATTCTAATAAAAATTTATTATTTTGTGCCTTAGAAAATCAATGGCAAACATCGAGAAGCTCCAATTTCCCGCTCTAGACATCACCGGTACCAACTACATTTCTTGGGTCACCGAAGTCGAACTTCATCTTGCATCTCTTGGTTTATCTGAAACCATTAAAGAGAATAATACTTCAACGCCTCAAGAAAAGGCTAAATCGGTGATCTTCNACCGGTACCAACTACATTTCTTGGGTCACCGAAGTCGAACTTCATCTTGCATCTCTTGGTTTATCTGAAACCATTAAAGAGAATAATACTTCAACGCCTCAAGAAAAGGCTAAATCGGTGATCTTCCTTAGAAGACACCTTGATGAAAGTATTATTTATGACTATGCCAACATGAGAGATCCTAAAGAGCTATGGAAGTCTCTGAAAGATCGTTTTGATCATCAGAAGGACATAACACTTCCGCTTGCTCGAGATGAATGGCAGAACCTGAGGTTCCAAGATTTCGACAAGGTGATGAATTACAATTCTGCTGTATTAGGAATTGTGGCTAAATTGAGATACTGTGGAGAAACAATTACCGAGTCTCAAATGCTTGAGAAGACATACACCACATTCCATAAGAGCCACATCACCCTGCAACAACAATATAAGTTGCGGGGATATACCAAATTTTCGGATTTGATTGTGGCGCTTCTCGTAGCGGAAAAGAACAACGAGCTTCTGATCAAGAATCACATGACACGCCCAACTGGTTCCAAAGCGTTTCCCGAAGCAAATGCATTAGATGCAAAGAAACCAGTGAAAGAAAATAAGGCTTTCCGTGGTCGTGGTCGTCAAAACTACCGTGGACGTGGACGAAAGTACAATCCACAGGACAGAAAGTCATTCCAATGGGTCCGCTCTGAGCAACCCTCTAAGGAAAAAGAACACCAAGGGAATACTTCTCAGAAGCGAGAAGAAGCTTGTTTCAGATGCGGTACTAAGGGACATTGGTCCCGTGTCTGTCGTACCCCTCCACATCTATGTGCTTTATACAAAGATTCCGTCAAAGGAAAAGGTAAAGAGGTTAACTTTGCGGAAACTTCAGAGGGTACAACGCACCTGGATGCGTCTGACTTTGTGAATGATTTCGAGGAGACCGTTATCACAGAAGATTAAGCACCCATCATGTGACTCTTGAAATTCCACAATTATACCATAAATAATGATTTGTGGAAGATTAATGTATAATTATTGTGTGATTTTTCATATGTTTATGTATAATTACTGCGTGTTTGATATTTGCTACTGATGTATAATATTTTATGAATAAGATTATCTTATCTCTATTAATTCTTTGTTTGTCTCAGAAATGGACACTACAAACGGAGCATCAACCAAGATCAATGCTAGAGATATTTGTATATCAGATAGTGGAACAACGCACACTATTCTTAAACACAGAAAATATTTTTCTGAACTTAAACCAACAAATATCACAATTAACACAATATCGGGTCCTGTAGACTTGATTGAAGGGATTGGTAAAGCCCATTTCACATTACCTAATGGGACAAATTTCTCGATAAATAATGCACTATTTTCTCCAAATTCTAAGAGGAATTTGTTGAGTTTTAATGACATATATTCTCAAGGATTTGATATTCATTCTGAAACTAAGAATGGAAAGAAATATATGTATATTACTCTTAAGAAATCGGGAAAACAAAAGGTGTTGGAAAAACTACCAAAACTCACTACTGGTCTGCATCAAACATATATAAGTGCCATCGAATCACATTTGGTGATTAAGAGAAATTCAGATGACTTTACACTATGGCATGATCGTCTAGGTCATCCAGGCACCACAATGATGCGAAAGATCTTCGAGAACGCACATGGTCATTCACTAAAACCCCAAGAAGTTTATCAGGGAAAGAAAATGACATGTACTGCGTGTTCCTTAGGAAAGTTGATTATAAGACCATCACCAACCAAAATAGATAAAGAGTTACCAAAGTTCCTTGAACGAATTCAAGGCGATATTTGTGGACCTATACACCCACCTTGTGGACCATTCTATTATTTTATGGTAATGATCGAGTAGATGGTCCCACGTTTGTCTATTATCCTCTCGAAATGTGGCATTTGCGAGATTTTTACCTCAGATAATCAAACTAAGAGCTCAGTTTTCTGATTATCCAATAAAGAGGGTCAGACTAGATAATGCCGGTGAATTTACTTCCCAAGCATTCAATGATTATTGCATGGTAACTGGAATTGATGTGGAACATCCTGTTGCTCATGTTCACACACAAAATGGTTTGGCTGAATCATTAATTAAACGTCTGCAACTGATTGCAAGACCATTAATCATGAGGTTTAAACTCCCAACCTCTGTGTGGGGACATGCTATTTTGCATGCAGAAGCACTAATTCGGGTGAGACCAAGTGCATATCACAAATATTCACCAATACAGTTAGCATTTGGACGAGAACCAAATATTTCTCATCTAAGAATTTTTGGTTGTGTTGTATATGTGCCAATTGCACCTCCCCAACGTACAAAGATGGGACCTCAGAGGAGGTTAGGTATATATGTTGGTTGTGATTCTCCATCAATTATACGTTACCTAGAACCACAAACTGGTGATGTATTTACGGCACGTTTCGCTGATTGCCACTTTGATGAAAAAGTATTTCCGTTTCTAGGGGGAGAAAATATAAAAGTAGAAAAAGAGATAAAATGGTGTGTGCCATCTCTACTACACATTGATCCTCCTACAAAACAATCGGAATTAGAAGTCCGTCAAATTATGCATTTGCAAAGCATTGCAAATCAACTACCTGATGCATTTGCAGACACCAAAACGGTAACAAAATCACATATACCTGCTGCAAATGCTCCTTCTCGTATTGAAATGCCACATGAACGTGGAGCAGATGATAATACACGAGAGTCAAAAATACGTTTAAAACGTGGTAGACCTCTTGGTTCTAAGGATAAAAATCCTAGAAAACGAAAGGAGATGGAAAAGCAAAATCCATCCAATACAACAGAAAAGCCGGAAGAAATGAACCATGAGGTTGATAACAGTATTGAACATCATGATTCTGAAGAAAATCATGAGATCTCTATTAACTACATTCACAATAGAAAAATATGGAATCGAAATAATGTGAATGGTGTCGATGATATTTTCTCGTACTTTGTTTCAAAAGAAATAAATGAAGAAAGTGATGACCCTGAACCAAAATCTATCTCAGAATGTCAAAAGAGACACGACTGGATGAAATGGAAGGATGCAATACAAGTTGAGCTTGATTCTCTTAACANATTAACTACATTCACAATAGAAAAATATGGAATCGAAATAATGTGAATGGTGTCGATGATATTTTCTCGTACTTTGTTTCAAAAGAAATAAATGAAGAAAGTGATGACCCTGAACCAAAATCTATCTCAGAATGTCAAAAGAGACACGACTGGATGAAATGGAAGGATGCAATACAAGTTGAGCTTGATTCTCTTAACAAACGAGAGGTATTTGGACCTATCGTAATCACACCTGAAGCTGTGAAACCTGTCGGATATAAGTGGGTTTTCGTTCGGAAAAGAAATGAGAAAAACGAAGTAATGAGATACAAGGCTCGTCTTGTAGCTCAAGGTTTTTCTCAAAGACCTGGGATCGATTATGAAGAAACATATTCTCCTGTTATGGATGCAATCACTTTTAGATTTTTGATGAGTCTTACTGCTAATCAAAATCTACAAATGCGTCTAATGGATGTTGTTACAGCATATCTATATGGGTCATTGGACACTGATATTTATATGAGAATCCCCGAAGGATTTAAGATGCCAGAACTATTAAGTTCTAAACCTAGGGAGTTATGCGCAATAAAATTGCAAAGATCATTATACGGCTTAAAACAATCAGGACGTATGTGGTATAATCGTCTCAGTGAACATTTAACTAAAGAAGGATATGTAAACAATCCTATATGCCCATGTGTTTTCATCAAGAAAACGTCATCTGGATTTGTTATTATTGCTGTATATGTTGATGACCTAAACATTATTGGGACTAAAGAAGAGATACAAAAGGCATCTGATTATTTAAAAGGAGAATTTGAGATGAAAGATCTCGGACAGACAAAATATTGTCTTGGTCTACAAATTGAGCATTCACATAAAGGTATATTTGTACACCAGTCTACATATACAAAAAGAGTGTTGAAACGATTCAACATGGACAAAGCAACTCCACTAAGTACTCCTATGGTCGTTAGATCACTAAATGTTGAAAATGATCCTTTTCGACCACATGAAGAAAATGAGGANAAATTGAGCATTCACATAAAGGTATATTTGTACACCAGTCTACATATACAAAAAGAGTGTTGAAACGATTCAACATGGACAAAGCAACTCCACTAAGTACTCCTATGGTCGTTAGATCACTAAATGTTGAAAATGATCCTTTTCGACCACATGAAGAAAATGAGGAGATACTTGGCCCTGAAGTACCATATCTAAGTGCGATAGGAACGCTCATGTATCTTGCAAATTGCACTCGGCCCGATATATCATTTGCAGTTAATCTTTTGGCAAGGTTCAGTGCATCTCCTACACAAAGACATTGGAATGGGATCAAACATGTTTTTCGCTATCTTCAAGGAACAATTGATTTAGGATTATTTTATCCTAACAACTCAAACGGAGAAATAGTTGGTTTTGCAGATGCATGATATTTGTCTGACCCACATAAAGCTAGATCACAGACTGGGTACGTATTCACAATTGGAGGAACTGCTATATCATGGAGATCCCAGAAACAAACACTTGTAGCCACTTCCTCAAACCATGCTGAAATAATCGCTCTCCACGAAGCAAGTAGAGAATGTGTTTGGCTCAGATCAATAAGTCAACACATCCTTTCAAGTAGTGGGATCAACGCCAATTCAGAACCGACCATCTTATATGAAGACAATGCAGCATGTGTCGCTCAAACAAAGGAAGGATACATTAAAAGCGACCGAACCAAGCATATCCCACCAAAGTTCTTCTTGTATACCCAAGAACTCGAGAAGAATAAAGAAATTGAAGTGAGATATGTTCGATCTTGTGATAATGCCGCAGATCTCTTTACAAAGTCATTACCCACTACGACATTCAGAAAACATGTTTACAACATTGGAATGCGACATCAACAAGAACTGTGAAGATCGTCTATTCGAGGGGGAGTTTCTGAGTTGTACTCTTTTTACCTTACTATGGTTTTTCCTACTGGGTTTTCCAAGAAAGGTTTTTAACGAGGCAACATAAAACACGCAAACATATTAATGGTACTGGTCTCTAAGGGGGAGTGTTACAAAAGTCAAAGAACAAATAACGTGTAGAAGTGAAAATGGAGCTCATCCCATTAATGATTACAGTAATATTTGTCTAGAGTTCTGGCTATATAAAGAGATGCACTATGTTGTGATTAAAAGTGCCCCTTTCGAACGATTGATAAAAACTCTATCTTTCTTGGTATACTACCTCTTCCTTTGTTCTTTTCGTATAGTTTCTTATTTACCATAATTATTACCTTCATGCTATAAAATAAATATCTTTTACGTAACATAAAACAATATAATATAATTATAACAGATCCAAAGTTTTTTTTATTGTATTATATCTGGGTTTTGTTGTTTTCTCCTCTCCCCCACGTGTGAAGTTTCCCAATAGCTTCAAACATTGACCAAGCTTGTTCTCTCTCTCCCTCGTTTCCAACGACGAAGCTGTCTTTGATCGAAATCTCCCCAAGAAGAACTCTGATCAAGGGTATTAATAATATTCATCTCTTCTTTTTTTTTTTTCTTTTAATTCTGGGTCTTTGCAATAATATCTCAACTGATGTAATAATTCCTCTCCAGAAAGATGGGTTCTTTCAAAGGCCATGCTTTGCCAGGCACATTGTTCTTCTTGGTTGGAGTATGGCACATTTGGAGCTCTGTGGTTCGATTCGTATCCAACCCCAAGTCATTTCGGGTTCGAGTTTGGCACCCTGTCCCTGGTTTCAACGACAGGTTAAAGTACTTGGAGCTTTACGTTGTCACCGTTGGCTCATTCATTGACTTATGCATCGAGTTCCTCTACTCAACTCATCTCAACTTCTTTGTCAATGGTGTCCTGAATCCTTCCCACATGAACGATTTCGAGCACTCTGGGATGCTTCTCATGTTCTTCATCCTCGGCTTTATCACTTTGCTCTCCGACAAAACCAGGTACTAGGTACAATAATGAACTTTATTAGAAATAGATCTTGGTTGATTGATAGATTCACCTTGATGCCTTTTTCATGTGTCTTAGGTTGCTTCCTCTGCCACAAGAAGCTCTCTGTCTAATCGCTGCAACAGCTTTTACAGCAGAAGGTCTTCTCTTCTTCTTTCACTCCACAAGCCACAAAGGTCTTGAAGGTTATTACCATCTCCTTCTCGTATTTCTCGTCGGTCTCTGCGTCATCTCCTCAATCGCAGGAGCAATCTGCCCTACAAGCTTCCCAGTAGATCTATGCAATGGCATTGCAATGACTCTTCAAGGCCTCTGGTTTTATCAAACAGCTTTCACTCTCTATGGCCCTCTGATGCCTCAAGGCTGCGGCTTAAAAGGAAACTCTGTCGTTTGTAGATCACTAGACTCCGTAGTCTCTGGAGAGTTTCTGGCTAATTTTCAGCTCTTCTCTTTGGTTCTTGGTGTTCTTGTCTGCGTTGTGGGTTCATATGTTTTTGCAGTTTCAACGTTTGGTTTGGTGTAAAGTAAATGAGAGATTTGTTGGAAGTGGAAACTAGGCTCTCTTTTTTACTGCGTCTTTGCTACATTTCTTTTCTCTTATACAAGTATGTTAACACATGAGTTATGAAAATTTTGTAACTTGCTTAAAACTCAGCTGATTTAGACAATAATAAAGCAAAAACCAAACCTTTATTATGTAACGGGCTGAAAAATGATTGATGCAAGGAGTATCTTGTGCTCTCAAGGAGGAACATAGTGTTTCTTTCACTTCCCACTACATTAGAGACTCGGAAGCAAATAATTTTTAGTAGAGAGCATATAAGTAAAACCCCAATGTCTTAAGTCTTTGACTTCACCTCCAGGACCATCAAACAATGATCCAATCAAAGTTGAAGATTACAAAAGATAGGAGAGCCAGTTCCAGTGGCTTGGTTGCAAGCTCTCTATAGGTACTTGGTCATACCCCGACCTTCCACGCTCACCGTAGTGGCTTGCAAACGCTTCTTCTTTGGTCCTTTTAGCTGTTGCAGTTTCTTGTTCATCTGCAATTTTAACATAAAAAAGCCAGCTTAAGGACGGATCCATAGGAAAAGAGCGACAAAAAGGTTGTTTTGTTCCAAGCTTGTGCAGCAAGGAGCTTGAGCCTAATTGTTTTCCAAACCAAGGTGGTATGGTAATCTTGATGATGTTTTGTCGGATCAGTGAGAAAACAATTAATGACAAGAGTGTTTTCTACCTTCACTCGACGCTGGTCCTGAGAAACCTGTTTAGCACGGGCTCTGACCTCATCAGGGTCAATCTTGGACTGAGGACGAATCACAAAGTCCATTGGAGTTGCTTCTGGTCTCATGGTCATGTTCCTGGACGAATCTCCCCTCGAACTCTGACCCGAAGTCAGACCAGATTTTCGTTGCCTGCACATTTTATCCACAAAAAAACTCAGCATTCTCAGAACCTAACTGTACTAAATGCAAATATCCAGATTCTAAAGGTTTCTTCCATACCGAATATCCAAGTCAAAGTCACCATCTCTGGACTCCATTGTCAAAGCTTTGTTGATAGGTCTATGTCAAACCGAGTAGAACAAGAAGAAAAACTATTGTGTCAGTACTGAATCATGAGTGATGTCTAAAAATAAAAGGTTAGGATTTACTTCTTCACTGGTGGCCTTCTATAGGGAGCCCTATCTTCATCAAGATTTCTCATGTCTTCAAACCTAGTGCTCTTGTTGAAAATCGGACGAGACTACAACATCAAGCATACAGTAAGTAGATGAGGTATAATCTGAAGTAGTGTGTCATCACTGGACTACCCATTTCAAATGGAATGAAGCAGTCGAAAAAAGCTGTTTACCCATTTATCAACCAAATCCTTAGCAAGTCGTCTGTTTGAAGTAGTTTCCTCATCGGACTTTGATAAGAACATAATGACCTACCAGAAAAAAAAATGTCCCTGGATTAATTCATACACACAAAACTCGTCAAGTGGTGTATCCTAACCTTTCCAAGCCCACTCTTTTTCAGTTGCTCCCTCCGATCATACTGCTCCAGGTCAATTGGAAACTGCAAGACGTAATCAGGAAGGGATAAAGAAGCTAGATTTGGCAATCAGGCAAATATATCTACAGGAAAACAGGAACGCATACATCAGTAAGAACCCTCAGAATAGCTGCACGAATGTTTATATTTGGCAAGCTTCCGTCAGGAAGAGGCTCAAGCCAATTCTTCAGCAGAGTTAGAACTCCATGGTCCAAGAATTCTGTTTGAAGCTGCTTCCTGGATAAAGACGAAACATGCAGTATTACAAAACAAATTGTCAGTAAAAACTGCATTGTTTCCGTAAGAAACTGTATTAAGATAACAATAACTTAGTAACTTACTTTCCAAGTACATTGGTAAGAAGGGAAAGTTTCTTAAGCTTGTTGATAGCAGGCTTTCCCTGTCGATTAAGCTCTGCATCTTCCTCAGCAGTGACCTCAAGCTCAGCCATCACATTCTCAACCAAGAGAGCGATTTCCGCAGGATTTCTTTCAGTTTTCTTCTTTTTCTTTCCCATTTTGAAAAGGTTATTAACCTCGTCATCATCCTCACCCTCCTCTGCCTGAATTATTCAAAACAAAAAGCACTATATACCACCAAACAAAAGCTAGATTGAGAGATAAAAATTGAGTGACACCTCTCATACCTGAGGATAATGAGTTGGAGAGCGGTCTCCAGCATCACCTCCATACCTCTCAGAAGGATCCACACCAGTATCATCAATGAAATTATCGTCATCCATAGTCCTAACACCTTCTTCATCATTCTATAACAGAACAAAAACATTTTAACAAACAAAATCTGCTACCGCAGTCTCAGAAGATTAACAAATGTGGTGCACCTCAGGGTTATCAGCAATAGATTTCCACATCTCATCAATCTCTTCAGATTTCCTCTCACCGCGGCTTGGGAGCTTATACCTCTTCTCCTTCCCACTACTTCTCTCTTTCTCCTTCTTCCTCTTCCTACCAACCTTATCGTCATACTCTGTAACACCACCTCTACCTCCCATGAACTCATCAAACTCCGCATCCTCTACATCCTCATCAATCAACTCAGGAACATTGATACTCTTCCTTTCGCTTGAAGCTTTCTTCACCAACCTTTTCCTCGGTTTGACTTTATCGTTGTCGTAAAGAGGCGTTTGTGAACCTTCACCATCCCAGTTTCCCATATCATCAGCTAAGTTATCTTCAAAGTCCTCAAGGGGCTCACGATCGTCTCCGAAGTCATCATCCAAGTCCACCAAGGGCTCCCCATCTACATCACGGTACCTGAGACAAAAAAAAAAACGATCAATCAAAAACCTATGAAACATACAAAGATTAGTTTTTTAGTCTATCCATGAAACGATTTCACTTTTTGTAATCAAAAGAAGAGAACTTTGGAAAAAATCAAATCTAGAACTCGGTAACCCTAGATTTTTAAGCGATTGAGGAAGGGGCTGTGAGTTTCTTCTGCACAACAAAGCTAAATTGAAAAATTGACGACGGAGAAAAAGGACTTACGGATCATCCTCGAAACCCATCTCTGCTCGCTCCCAGAAAACGATTCAACGGAGAAAATCTCGAATACTGCTGATCTTCGAGAGGAGGAAGGTAGAAAGGAATGGAGAGATTCGGTTCCTAATAGAAAACTCAACGGTCTCGATTGACCGAAGATTAACAGTTTAGATCTCGCCACGTCATCGAAACTCGGAGTATGTGTTAACTATTGACTTGCTGGGCTTGCTTTTATTTAGAAAATTAACTCTCTAGTCAAAAGCCTCGACGACGTTCGGATATCCCAAATTATGTGAATAAATCCATGAGAACCCTAAATGCAATTGACTACTTTGGCTCTGATTGTTGATGACATGTAATATTGAGTTTGAGTTGCAGTATATCTTATAATTTGATGTAATTTATACTATTATTTAAGAAATAAAATTGCTTATTGCTTAGTTGTCATATTCTCCATAAATTTAGACAATTTGTTTATTTATCATATTTTGTTTATTTATATATAATTTATTTATAAATAAAACGAATTTATATTAATATATCATATTTTTAGAAAATAAGATAATTCTTATGAATTGTGTTGTTATCTTGAAATATATTTTATATAAACCTTAAATTTTAAATCAAGATATAAAAATTATTATATTTATTATATAACTAAAACGAATTAATATTAATAATTTTATATTTTCTAAAATAAGATAATTCTTATTTATTATGTTGTTATGTTGAAAACATATTTTCGTATTATAAATTTAAAATTAAGATATAAATATTATATTATTAATAATTAAATATAAATCATCAAAAAAACATTTGAAATTTGAAATTGTTGACTTGTTTCCGTGATGTGATCTTAGGTAATTTTGATCATTTATCATAATTTCTCTAATTTTGTTCATTATTTATTATATAATTAAAACTAATTTATATTAATAATATGATATTTTAGAAAATAAGTTTATTCTTATGTATTATGTTGCTATTTTAAAAATTTATATTTATATAATTAAATTTAAAATTAACATGTAAGAAATCTATACTATTATTTAATAAGTTAATTTGATGTTTGTTGATAGGACATATTTTCCACGATTTTAGGTAATTTTAATAATTTACCATAATTTTATAATTTTGTATGTAATTTATTATATATTAAAGCAAATTAATATTAGTAGTATCAGATTTCGTAGAAAATAAGATACTTCTTATGTATCAAGTTGTTGTCTTGAAAATATATTTTTCTATTAGAAATTTAAAATTAAGATATAAAAAGTTGTAGTTATTCTATAATTGAAATAAATTTACACTAATAATAGTATACTTTTAGAAAATAAGGTAATTCTTATGTATTAGGTTGTTATCTTCAAAATATGTTTTTATATTATATAACTTAAAAATAATATAGAAAATTATATATTATTAATTAAATATAAATCAACACTCAAGAAAAATTATTTAAGAAGTGAATTTGCTGATTCATTAAATTTTCCATGATTTTAGGTAATTTTAATTATATGTCATAATTTCTATAATCTTATATAATTATATAATTATATTTTTTTATCATATTATATTTTTAGAAAATAAATAACTTATGCATTATATTGTTATCTTGAAAATATGTTTTCTATTATAAAATGTAAAATTAAGATATAAAAAATTATAATCAAATATAATTAAGTAAAAATATTTTTATAAATATAAATCAAGCAAAATAATTATAGAAATATATTCTTTTAAATATTTCTAATGTTTGAGTTTTGTCATTGATATTTTTTGATGTTTCATGTGTACTTTTGAAAACATAAATAATAACTTATTATGCTGATTTTAAAATTAATGAAACATCAGATAATAAATATTCATAAGATAATTATGCCCGCAAATGCGGGCAAAACACCTAGTTATATGGTAAAACTGTAAGTTTATAAGGTAAGTTTGCAATAAAAATACAATTATAATTTTACTAAAAATGGTGATTAATAATATTTTTGATGTATAAATTGAAGTGTGATTTTTTTTTTGATAAAATAGTTAAAGATATAAACATATAGATAATGAATATTTATTAAAAACAAAGAAAACATTAACTTATTTAAAAACTATATTAATAATAAATTTTAAATATATAAAATAAAATGTAATGGAATAATAATTTGCATTGTAATAAAATAAACAGTAATTTAAAACTTTGAATAATTTTTTAAAAATGGGGTATGAAAGATTATAAAAATCTCTGACTAGCACAAAATTAGGTAGAAATATATAATTTGTGTAAACCATAAAGAAAATTTGAATTTACAAACAAAAATACCTTACTAAATGTAACTTAATTAACTAACTAGATTCTGACCCGCACCTCCGTACGGGTAAACTTTCGTTTTATAAATATAAATTTTATACTATATTTAATATTGAATCATTTTTATATAATATATTGCTGTCATTTTAAAAATAAATAAATAGATAATATATAGTTCTAAGTATTAAAAATTAACATATGTTAACAATCTTATTTTCTATAAAATGTATTACATAATTTAGGAATGTTTAATATCTTTAAAAGGTAAATGATATTTTAGTCATTTAAATGGTGGTTGATATTTTATTTATTTATTTAACTGATTTTTTTCTCAAAATTTACCAATTCAATATAATTTTATATGCAATTCATTTATTACTACTATTTTAATATAATATAGACTATACTTATAAAATTTATAAAATTAGCATATAATTTATTATATTTTGTTTATAATAAAATATTAATTAAGATTAATTTATAATAATATTATACTACTAATTAAGAAATTAATCAGTGTATTAATTAAAAAATATTTAAATTTTTAAAAATGATTTGCTAGATTTTGTCTCAACAGATTTTGTGATTACTAAAACTAAAATTTAAAATTACATTCAAAAAAAATTTGTTATTAATATCCTTATAATTATTTAGACATGATATTCATTAAATAAACTAATGTAAATAATCAAAAAAATGTAACTGAATATATGGATCTGGTATGATTATTTTGTAGTAGATAAAAATGGTACTTCTCTTTTAATAGAGAAGATGACACTATTACTTGATTTTTTTTTCCGTTTTCATAAAGAAATTGCTAAACTTTTGGGTTTAAAACCATAAATAAAATTTTGAATTTACAAAAAGAAACTGCTAACCTAACTTTTTCTTTTGAAATTTGGCTTAGCTAACCTAACTTTGCCATTACAAATTTGATTTTCTTTTGTGTTTCAGTTTCTGGATTGCTAAATGTATGGCTTTTAAACCATAAATAACACTAGTTGCATATTCCCCGCGCAAGCGCGGGGCCGGAATCATTATGTTTGCGTGTATTTTTTTCGATTGTTGGTTTAGTGAATTCTTCTAATGAAACCAATTAATAATGAAATGGAAAATTTCATGTTTTTATATCGTATGTCAAAACTTGATATAATCTATATTTATAGTATATATATTTGTATTAAACGATTTATCAATATGAAAATAACCTTAATTAAGTTAATATTCGTTGTTTAAGTTTCATTAGATAGGTTTTTATATATGGTTTTTTGTAAGTTTGGGTTTTGTTCATAAATGATGTGGCATTTTTATCTACGGAGTCATCGACTGCGGGAATTCATTCGCCGAAGTCTGGAGTCGGTGGTGATAAATGTTTTCAATGAAATTATAGTAGTTATTAAAATGTAAGAGAAATTACATATTCATTTAATAAATAACTTACTTAAATTTTGTTGTTTATTTTATTTTATTTCACATACAATTTTTNAAATGATGTGGCATTTTTATCTACGGAGTCATCGACTGCGGGAATTCATTCGCCGAAGTCTGGAGTCGGTGGTGATAAATGTTTTCAATGAAATTATAGTAGTTATTAAAATGTAAGAGAAATTACATATTCATTTAATAAATAACTTACTTAAATTTTGTTGTTTATTTTATTTTATTTCACATACAATTTTTTGAAAAATATTAGGAATGTGTTAAATGTTATTTATATGCGAAGTAAGGTTTATAGGAATAGTTAGGCTATAATATAGTTTTTAGTGTGTAAAAGTAGGTGTGTTTTTTTTGCTGTAAATAGTTTTTATATCGTAGATCAAAACTTGATATAATTTTATATTTATAGTATTTATATTTGTATTAAACGATTTATCAATTTGAAAATAACCTTAATTAAGTTAATATTCGTTGTTTAAGTTTCATTAGATAGGCTTTTATATATGATTTTTTGTAAGTTTGAGTTTTGTTCATAAATGATGTGGCATTTTTATCTACGGCGTCATCGACTGTGGGAATCCATTCGCCGGAGTCTGAAATCGGTGGTGAGGAATATTTTTAAGGAAATTATAGTAGTTATTAAAATGTAAGATAAATTATATATTCATTTAATAAATAACGAAAATAATTAATTTTTGTTGTTTTATTTTATTTTATCTCACATACAAATTTTTAAAAAAATATATATTAGGAAATATGTGCAATGATTTAACTTTTTGAGTTCCTAATCTATATTATTCAACACTCATTAAGCCATCCACGTATGCACCCGCGTGGAATTCACTTTTTTTTTGTTTTTCTTTGGTCTGTTCGTTTTTGGATTTATTTTTTATTATTTTTGGGTTGAGCTATATTACAATATGATAGTTTTAAGGTTCTTTAAGCCATCCGCGTAGGCAACCACGTGAGACTTGTTTTTTTTGTTTTTTTTTTATTGTTCGTTTTGGATTCGTTTTTAACTATTTTGGGTTTGAACTTGTTAAGGTTTAGGGTTTATACAACTATTTTGATCTTTAAAACAATAAGCCAAACAAAAAAAAACATAAGAACCTTATAAACAAAAAACCCATATGATAATAACCTAAATAAAAAAAATCAAAAATACATGATAGCTGCGTGGTTTGAACCCACAATCTTGCATACTTAATTAAACACCTTATACCACTTGACTAAAATGTATTTCATTGTTTGTGACCATCTTACCAAGACTATGTCTGTTTAAAAAATATCTATGCATGAGAGCAGTGGGAATTGAACCCATGCCCTTGC